GGCCGGGGGGAAGCCCTTCTCCTCAGGCTGGGGGTCTGGGCAGTGCTGGTGGCGTCTCTCGTCCCTGGGGCGGGCAGCCATCCACCGCCCGGCTATGCTGTCTATGAGATAGTCTACCCGAGCAAACTGGCCCCCAAGGCAGAGAAAGCGGCCGGGGGAGAAGTGTCCTACGTGCTGAGGGTGGAGGGGAAGAACCACATCATCCACCTCACGCAAAAGAGAGGGTTTCTGGTGAGAAACCTGCCGGTCATCACGTACAGCCCCCGGGGGCACAGGGTGGTGGAGCAGCCCCGCATCCCCGAGGAGTGCTTCTACCGGGGGTACGTGCAGGACAGCCCCGGCTCCATCGCCACGCTGAGCATCTGCTGGGGGCTGAGGGGGCAGCTGGAGATGGGGAACCTGAGCTATGGCATCGAGCCTGTGCCGGGGTCCCTCACCTTCCAGCACCTCCTCTATCGGCGAGAGGCGGCCCAGAGCAAGCCCTCGATGTGCGGGTTGACAAAGGAGGCGATGCAAAAGCAGCTGGGGGAGATGGGACCTCAGGCAACCTTGAGAAAGCACGTTTTCTGTCGGGGGCTGAAGCACACCACCTACGTCGAGGTATTTGTCGTGGTGGACTACTCCCTGTTTTCCTTCCAAGGGAGCAACGAAAGCTCCGTGGTGCTTCTGGTCACAGATACCATCAATTTAGCCGAAACGTACTTCTACAGCCTGCGGATTCGCATCTGCCTGGTCGGGATGGAGATCTGGACACGCAGCAGCTTGATCAGGTACAGCCACGATATAGAAGACGTCCTCAGAAGCTTTAACTACTGGGCAAATACGGATCTTTCTCAGAGGATGGCGTATGACATCACCCATCTATTTACTTACATGGACTTCGGACTAATCGTTGGGCTGGCCTATGTAGGTACCATCTGCTTCCCTGGGTATCGCTCGAGTATTATCTCACATATAAGGAGAGATTTCACAGCCTTCTCACTTATTTTTGCCCATGAGCTGGGTCACAACCTGGGGATGGAGCACGACAAGAAGAACTGTGTGTGCGGAACAGCCACCAAGTGCTACATGACGGGCGACTCGCTCGCTGGTGCCCAGGGTTTCAGTAACTGCAGCATGCAGTACTACTTAGACCTGATGAACAGAGGACACGGCCACTGCTTGTGCAACATCCCCGAGTCCCACAGACTCTTCCATTTTAAACACTGCGGCAACAAGGTGATTGATGAGGGAGAGCAGTGTGACTGCGGGGGGCTGAAGGGCTGCCGAGGCAACCCGTGCTGCCGCCCCAACTGCAGGCTGAAGCCTGGGGCTGTCTGCTCCGTCGGGCAGTGCTGTCATAAATGCCGTTTTCATGCTGCAGGACACAAGTGCAGGTTGGAGGCGGATGAGTGTGACTTGCCTGAATATTGCAATGGCACTTCGGCGTGGTGCCCGAAGGATTTGTACGTGCACGACGGGACACCCTGCAGCAACAGTGGCTACTGCTACTACGGGAAATGCGCGACCTATGACAACCTGTGCAGAAAAGTCTTTGGGAAGCAAGCTCGGGGTGCTCCAAGAAGCTGCTTCCAAAAGCAGAACATGAGAGGGGATCGATTTGGCAACTGTGGCGGTGATGGGTCCAAAGTTGCCTTTGTGGGATGTAAACCCCAAAATGTTCTGTGCGGAAGGCTGCAGTGTGTCAATGTGAAGAAGATACCCATTCTGCAGAGGTCTAAAGCCATCATTCAGACGCCAGGGCCGAACGACTGGTGCTGGGGCATAGCCTACCATGCCAGCATTGATATACCTGATGTCGGAGGAGGGACCGATGGCACCAAATGTGGGCCGAAAAAGATCTGTATTAACAGGACATGCGTAGATGCCACGGTCAACATAAAGTGTGATGGGAAGGTGAAGTGTGGGGGGAAAGGGGTTTGCAACAACCTTGAACAATGCCATTGTGAAGCTGGCTGGGCTCCTCCGGACTGCCAGTTCCATGGCCTGGGAGGGAGCATGGAGAGTGGCCCTCCACCAGCTCTCATGATGACCATGGGGGAGGTTGTCCAAACTAAAGCGTTTAAGATAGTAATGGGGATCACAGTTCCCCTTACCATCATTGGGACTGCTGTTGGCATTACTGTAAACAAATACAGAAAAGCAAAAGCTGCCACTGCAGAAAGAAGTGAGACTCCTGCAGATGAGGAGCAGGGTACAGAAGAAGGAGAAGGAGAAGGAAAAGAAGGAGGAGGAGAAGGAAAAGAAGGTGAAGGAGGAGGAGAAGGGGGAAAAGGAGATGAAGGAGGAGGAGGAGAAGGGGGAAAAGGAGATGGGGGAGGAGGAGAAAAAGGAGGAGGAGGAGGAGAAGAAGGAGGAGAAGGAGAAGAGAGTATGTTTAAAAAACCTTGAAAGCAGTGGGAAACCCACCAGCTGAGGTTTGGAAAGGGCTACAGGCCCTGTGTGTACACCCCTGCAGCTGGACTGCTAGTCCCAGGAGATTTTCCACAAAGTGATTTACACAACGTAACTGTGTAAACTGTACAAAAGTTAATTACACGCAACTTTAGTATTTCCTCTTCTTTGGATTACCTACTATGTAAATAAATCTGGGTTGGGCCCAAAAAGTGAAGCTGTTAGAAAATAAAGAGTATAAAAGTTAAGAGAGTTGTTTTCAATGCAGCTAAAGATCTGTTTTATTTTCTATAGAGGGGTGGAACCGTAGTAATTCACTTGAGCATTTAGAAGAGTACAGATAGATTCATGCAATGTCCTGCTCACCTGGGTCATAAGAGATGCTCCACCACAGGCTTATTTTTGTGAGTACTGGAGCTGAGCAGGAGTTGCATGAGACCAGAAGGGAAATGTGCAAAAAGTCAAGGCACGGAAGTGAGCACTGATTTTTTTATGCTACTTTGCAATCCATTCCTTGCAGTTGGCTATTAGCATGGTATATGTTCTTATATAGTGAATTAATAGTCAGAGATTGAAAATATTCACTTTTGCTTTACTGTTAATGGCAAAGACTTAGAGAAGTGCAACATCCTTTGACCACCTCCCCTCAAAGGATCTGTAGCCCATCTCTGAGCTGTTACATACAATTGGCTGCATTTCTAGAGAGATTTCCATAAGGAGAAAGTCTGTACTAAAGATTTACCACGTTTAAAGAACCCATTTACAGTCCATACAAACCTGTAAAATAAATAACTCTCTTCACTGAAGGGTCTGTCTCTGACAGCTCTGCCCAGGCTCCTCCTGTACTACAGCTAACTTTGCTGCTGGCACGACAGTTCAGAGCAGACAGCCCGATGCTGGGTCTGGCTGATGTTACTAAACCATGATGAGGCTTCACGAGGACATAGGGACTCATCAGAGCAGGGTGGACGTGGAGCCCTCTGTGTCTGGTGGGCTGGTGGGGAGCGTGCTGGAGTAGAACTTCTTCTGGGAGCGCAGGAGAGGAGTCTGAGTGTCAACGTCCCGGCAGGTGTTGCGTTTGAGGGAGAGGAAGATGTGCTGTGTCCAGCCGTACACGATGCAGTTCAGAAGCCCCTGGGAAGCTGCTGTTAGGGCCTGGGAGAGAGCATAATGGAGAGCAGGGCTCTCTTGTCAGCCAGCACTGCACAGCACAACACAGCTCCCCACCAGGCTGTCAAACCCAGCACGTTATGCCAAGCTTCCCACTTCCAGCATGCTTTTATATATCTGCATCCCCATGTGATACAGGAATCTCACGGTTATTTTAATACTCTTTGCTAAATGCTGCCTCAGGCACAGCAAGGAGCTGGACAAGTGTTGTGGAGGAATTGCAAAAGTCTCCAAATGAAAGAGACTTATGAAAGTCTCCTTTTTATGAAAAGAGTAAAAAAAAAAACAACTTAACTGATTTCTAGGGATCCTTTCTAGTTCTATTTTCTATAATTGCCATGGTGCTGTGATTTTAGTTACTGAGACCTTTTCAAGCCTTTGAAAAATACAAAACATCTAACAAAGATCTTTTCCAACCAAAAGCGTAAACCAGACTTAGGCTCATACAGCAGTGATCATTGTGGGTGGAAGCATGCTTTGCCCAGCAGAGACTAGAAGCAGATAAAGGCTAATATCCCTGTGGAAGCAGAGAAGGGAAAACACAGGAGGTTGCAGAGGAAGACATATACCTGTAGGATGAGAAGAGCCATGTAGATTTTGCTGTTTGTTGAAACGGTCAGCTTCATTATTCCAAGAAGGACAGCTGTAAAAAAGGATGGAGAAGAGGGTATTGCTTTAATCCCACCTCTTCCAAATTCCATTTCTAGGCACTATGTCCTGGGGGAATATCAGCTCTCTCCTTACCTGGGGCCCAGCAGCAGAAGAAGGTGATGGGGTAAAAAACCACCCGTTGTTCTACCATCTTAATCATGGCCCACTGCTGATCCCCCAGGAATCCTGTGGAGTTCACAAACCTTTTATACAAGCCTCGGGCTTGACTGAGTATAACCTAAAAAAGAACAAGCACACATCGTTGTTTGTACTTGGTGCACATGCTCTGATCTGCCTTGTTCATCTAGGACAGAGTATCCCATTTCAATCTATCAAACCTTTTCATGGAACAGCGTGCTGCCTGAGGGAGAGCAGTTGCTTTGCACATGACCTTCCTTGTCTGAACTGGTTTGGGCTCTCATTGACCCATGCAGTAGGTGATCTGCTGCCATGCTCTGAGCCTTCTCTACCTGCTAAATCCTTTTAGAGATAGGTTGACAGAACACAGGACTCCAGACAGATTTATATGGTGGCACAAGGGTATTTTCCCCTCCCCTATCACCTCTTCCAAAAGGGAAGCAGCACCACATGGTCCTTCCCCTGACATTGCCTGGCCTCTGGTAGCATCCAAAGAAAGACATAAAGATGAAAACTGACCATCTGGATGCAACAGCCAGTGTGCAAGGACGATGTTTCTTACCAGAATGGCAATAAAGCTGATCAGAAAGGAGATGAGGAAGACCCCAATGCCATAGAAATGCATCGCACGGCAAACAGAGCCACTCAGGGTTTGCGGCTCGTTGGTGGGCACGGCTATTTCCGTGTGCATCAAGAGACATCTGTGGGAGAAAGGGAACAGCCTGAGCTCCTGCTGTGACTCGTAAGCAGCGAGGCTGTTTCAGAGGTGGGTGAAGCTTACCCATGCTTCTGGCTGAAGTTCTGGTAGCAATTGCTGCTGTTGCCCAGGCAAAACACGGGTACCATGAGAAGGAGAGGAATCAAGCTAAGAGGAGAAAGGACAACAGCACAGTTATTAGCTATTGCACTACACTGCTCCCATTCCCAACCAAACACTAGCTGCTTTTTCTCCTGTCACTATAGAGGACTTAAAAATTGTTTTTATTAACATACATGCAGGCAATACATTGGTAAAGGGAGCACCTCCTTAAAAAACTACATACAGTTAATATAGTTTTAATTAACCTGGTTAGAGAAAGACCCCTATATCCAAACCCTCCTACTCTGAGTTTGTTGGGTGACTCTGCTGTTAGTGATGAGCTTTCCAAGTTTTACTAAAACTTGTTTCAAAATAAGTAGGAAGCAAAGATCAGGACACTACAGTTTACCAGAACCACATCATTCTGCCACAGACACTCACATCTTACCTGGACAAGATCGTTGCTATTCGACCAATGCAACTCGCATAATCTACAACCTGCAAAATCCAAAGAGCTTCATTAAACGAGCGTTTCTGCCCAGCCTCTGGTTCCCAGGACCCAGCTCCCAGGGAGCGCTTCAGCAGACAAGGGCTCTTTGAATGCTGATTAATCCCCAGACCAAGTACAAATGTTTGTTTCCACTTCACACTGAATCAACACCACCGAGTTCAGTCTGTGCTGATTTGCGACAGAACCACCAGTGCTTCCACCCGCTCACTGCCGCCTTCTGCAAAACTAAAGGATTTGAGAAAGGAACTTGGAACTCTCAACAAGCAGACACTTGATGAGCCCTCTGGTGTAACCTACTCATTTTTGCACTGCTTATTCACTTAACCTAGCCCTGTTCCTCATTAACTCCATGTTCTAGTGAAGAAATGCAGGCATTTTGGAGTGTCCTGGTATGTACTCACCAGGAAATGTACTTTGGCAGCTGGGATCCACACACACACCAGCTACAACAAAACAACGTGGGCACAGCAACAGTGGTGGGGAATGATGGTAGGTGGTGTGTTTTGAATGGGAGTCCAGTAAGAAGGAAACCAGTCCTACAAGTGGACCCAAACCCTGTGGACAAGAGCCCTCGAAATACAAACTGATCTGCCCAGCCTGCTGCTCCCAAACCAAGCAGAGTATCTGGGATACAAAGTTTGCTGTGCACAGGAAATGTCCAGAGAAGAAAAAGGCTATATAGAGAAATGGGGATGATGGGTTCAATGGGAAAAGCTGCATAAGGAATCTCTCATCTTGCAGCACAGGAGCAACATTCAGGTTACAATGATGGTGGTGCCACACTGTTCAGCCAGGTGGGAGGAATGAAACAGCTCCAAAGAGAGATTTTGGTCATGAGGTATGTGAAGTGTTTGTTTAGCCTGCAACGCAGAGAGTATTTTTCTGACTACTATGTCCTTGTCCCTCTGTTCCCAGCGATTACCAGTTCCCCAAAGAGCTTTTGTAAAGGCCAGCGATGATGAAGTGAGGACTGGCCGCTCTTCACAGAGCCAACTGGCTCGCTTCCATCCCACCTCCCACCTCAAACTCTTACATTATCTTACTGACACTCTCAAACACTGTATGACATCCGGGGAGGACAGAAATTGTCAGCTCTTAGTTCCAGGCAGCTCCTGCTTTCCTCTCTGCCTTGCCCCGCTGGCAGAAGGCAGTGACAGCAACAAACCAGTTACTCAGCTGCTGCAAACTGCTGTTCTTCTACCTGCAGAAGAACTTCTCCAACAGCCAGTCCTGAACTTTCTCTGCTCGGAGATGTACACTGCCATTGGCTTTGTCTGCTTTAGTCTTGCAAGCCTAACCTTGCACTGAGATGCTACAGCAGACTCAGCAGTAACTCTGCTGACTTCAGTGGGAAAGATACATCAATTCATACAGCCATGGGGCAGAAGGGCCTTCAAAGTCCCTGAGGTGAGATTTACTGTTATGTATGCACCTCCTAAACCCCACCACAACCCCACAGATAGATCTTGGTACCAAACAGTCACTACACATCAGTCCTACTCACCTGGGGGGGTATCCTGAAAAGGTTCTGGTTGTATTTCATCTTTAGGTCCATGTACAGATGCCAGGTGTAGTTGACAGTGTATAGAAAAGAGGCCACATAGAATATCTGTGGAATACAAACAGTATTTTCAGTCCTGTAACAGTAGTTCCTGTAGCACATTTAGTTCATCACTGATGAACCCAAAGCCCACAGGCCAGAGGCAGGATGCTAAACAGCACAGTGGACTCGAAAAGATGAGGGTCCCTGTGCTCATATCAGTGGGACATCAAGAGGAGGGGTTCCCACCTTAGACTGCACAAGGACAGCTTCACTTTGGTCTCAAAGAGGGGACAGGAGAACTAACGACAACAGGACTGTCTTAAAAATACAAATCTTGAGTGACTTGTCTCATTTTTTGGCCCAAATCCTGGCAGTGAAGGGATCAAAGGCACTTGGACCCTCTCTATACTACATCCATTAGGATACAGAACACAAATGCAACACTTAGATTTGCTTCTGGCATCATGAGCTCACTACACAGTGAATTCACGGAAACAGAAAACAATCGGATATTTAAAGAGGAAAGCAGGGACAGAGAATATCTGCACTAAGCCTGAGTTAACACCAGAGAGCCCTTTACTCTCCATGGGAAAAGGAAGGAAAGCAAAGCTACAGAACACTTTCCCACCAAGAGTTTCACAGCCCTTGATTCCAGCTTGAGACGAGACCAGATATCTAACATTCTCCATAAAACCCCCAAATCTTTCTTGCATGTCTCTTTCTGCATCCAAGGTTGCTCCAGGCAGTCAAGTATAAACAGCGCTGCCAAATCAGACTATATATATGCGTGTGCTGTGTTTGGTACAGGAAACACATGCTTCAGTGGCAAAGGCAAAGAGGAAGGGCTGGACAAGTGAATTTTGAAGTGGATTTGCTATCCTTTGCCAGAGGCAAGGAGTGCAGGTTTGCCACCCTGATATCATCTAAGTCTGGGAAAGCAGTCACCAAATAAACCTGGTCTCCTTCAGGTTGCAAATGCTCTTGGCTCACTCAAGAGGCCGAGTCCAACAAGCTGCTACATTGCAGCAGGAACATTACACTGACTTTCCAGCCCATTAAATGAGGTTTAATGAAGGTTTGTTGCCCTTTTCAATTACTTCCAGGGAAGGTCACCAGAACAGTCCACAAAGAGCATTCTCTTGCACTTCAGAACGCCTTAGAGAGGCTCACAAAATATCAGCACTGCCTTCTTTTTTGGAATAGGGAACCAAAAGCTGCTTGTGAAGATGCCGGCAGAAAGTGAAGGGAGCTCTGCTCTCCTGAGCCACAGCTTTGTGACTGTGGACAGTCCTGAAGTGCTCACCATGAGGAGGTAACAGAGGGGCTGGAATACATGAGAGTCCTCATTATAACACTTCTGTGGCTCCCCATTGTGCTCACCAGTGTGAGCAGAGCCTGCCAGGATGTTATTAGGCCACTGGAACTGAACTGGAAGAATGTGGGGGAATTGTGCAATTATAACCACAATCTCTATTCTGGACCTTATTATTGTCAGGCACAGGCAATGCAGGGAGGAGAATAAGCTCAAGGGACAGCAGAAAGGAGCAGTATTTACACTTACATCAAACAAGAGGCTGGGGCTGAAACAGGGAGAGCCCAAGAAACAAAGCCTTCTCCTTTACGACATGGACATTAGGGGAGTTCCATCGGCTGCAACACCAGCCCTTGTGGTAAAGTGATGGTAAACAGGCTATAAGGCAAAATATTGTTTGCTTCTAAGGCAGTTTCTGGAGGCAACCACATCCCATGGACTGTGGTGTGAGCCTCTCCGAAGGCTGCCCTCTGCAAACACCACTGCTGAGCAGTCCTGAGCCTGTCCTCACCCCTGTCGTTACTGCATTTCACATCTTCCAAGTGCTCGGGTACAAAGAAGCCGCTTGTGTTTATGAGACACCCAGGGATGAAACCTTTGCACGGGTCCAGGAGCCATCTACTCGTTTCCTTCAGTCGCAGCTCACTCATACCCCGCAGAAGCTGCTGGTTAAACCTGTTACTGGCTCCTACTTACGTACAAGGTGTTCTCACCTCGCAAGGGCATGACTGGGGTGTGAAGTGAGGAGGTTTCCTGCTCCGTGTCACGTGCGGGCACGGTTGCTATGGCAAGTGCTCCGTTTGTTTTAATTTCTCACAGAGCAAACAGCGGTCACAACCCTCACCAGACACAAGCTGGCTCTGCCACCCCTGACAGGGGGGTCCACTGGTGGCACGCAGGGGAGAAGCCCAGTGACGCTGTGGCTGAGGTTGCGATGTGGTAAGCACCTTGCACACCCCACCCCAGCACCCTGACTGTCCCCCGTGGGGCTGAGGCAAAAGGAAAATGCTGTAAGGACTTGCTCAAGGCCAGCTCTGCCCTTCCAAGCGTGGAAGTAAAGCTCCTACCTTGCCCTCCTCCCTTGCTGGTGTCCCTGAGAAGCATGGCCACATGCCGAAAAAGCAAGGGCAGGAAAGAGACAGAAATGGATGGGAGCACAGCAGGCTCTCAGTGTCCCTGCTGAGAAATGATGGTGTATTATCCATAGCCAACCTAATTCTCCTCTAGCAGCGCAACCTGTCTTCTCCAGGCCATAAAAAGATCACAGCAGCATTAAGAGCTGTCCCTCAGGCAAAGCTGCAAGGGAAACAACTCAGAAACACCATCAGTCCCACATGCTCCTTCTACCTTCCGGCTCTGAAAAGCCTCTCCAAAGCTCTTCTCATTTTCCCATTCCATCATCTAAACTCCATCTCTGACACTGTTCTGCACCATTCCCAAGTGGCCAAGTTACCCACCCCCACCCTTTCCCTTCCCGACGTGAACATATTGCGGTGCTGTGGAGACCAGAGATAAGCCAGGAGCAGAACAGCTGCTCTCACCATCACCAGTAATCTGCTTTTACCCACCAAACCAGCTGCTGAAACAATCCTGGGCTGCAGGTCCCCATCCCAGACACGCAGCAGTGTGAACACTTCCACACCAGCTACCTCCCTGCCCTCTCCAGCTTCATACGCTGCCACTCAGTGAGGATGTTTCAGTTCCCATTTGTGGGTACCATCATGCTCCCAGGGAGCTTCCCGAGCCCACACAACACATATCAAGGCTTCAACAGCCACATTTTTGTGGGTCCTTAAAAAAACCCCTGTTAAACCCAGAGATCACCACTTGAGAACCGCCTCCCTGGCCCAAGCTTGGCTGTGTCCTGCAGAGTTTTTGAGAGCAGTCATTTGCAAAGCCTAACGCTGAAATGGGAACTCAGTGAGACAAAAGCAAACTGTCAGGAAAACAGTATTTCACTCACTCCACTCCAATTAGTCTCCAGCACACGGAATCAGCTGGACTTCAGCCGAATTGCTGGGGCATGGGGCTGAGCTGGTGCTGATGGAGCAGTCCGAAGCACCCTTGGGATTGTTTGAGAGAGAATAGGGCCAGGCCAGCAAGAGCAGGGCTGTATATATGAGTAGTGTTATAAGTCTGAGCTCAAGCCAATCACAGAGTGTGTCTGTTCCTGCCCAGGATAGAGGAAGCATGAAGAGGAATAGAAAAGCTGCAGTATGAGAGGCACAGAGATCATTGTGGGCACAGGGCCAAGAGGAAACAGATTAAGACCCATCTACTCACTTTACACAAGCAACCCAAACACAGCAACCACAAAATCCCATGCTCTCTTTGCCTTCCTCATTGCCTTTCCCAAACCAGATATACCTAAACCCAAGCATCGTTATCTCTGTTTTACACACAAGGTGAAGAGATCTGATTATGTCAAGTTCACATGGGGAGTCTCTGCCAAAGCCTGCCTAGAAACAGCCCCCACGGCCACGCTCTGATCACCAGTGAGCTTGGTTACAGCAATGGGTGCACAGTGAATGCATGAAGGGTGGTGCCAAGGCTACTCACTTGTCCTGTGGCTTGTAGGTTGTAGCAGACGAGGTCCTGCTTGGAGGTTGGTGTGCTGTAGAGAAGCGCCCCAGCGAGCCAGCACATGCCCAGAAAGAGGTCAGAGAGGCTCAGGTAGAAGAGTGGACGAACCTGGGAAAGGGATATTGAGCAGCAGGTCTGAGTGATGGCCACGACACTCCCATTACCTCCTACAGCAGCAGTTTCACCCCATCATCTAAACACACTTTTGTCCCCCACGCAGCTCTTCTTGCACACAAACCCCATGCTGATTGTTGCTCGTAGGAGCTGTTTCAATGCAGATACCTTGCTCTAATCACCCTTTCTGCCACTAACAACAGCCCAGCATCCCAGAGCAGCACTAACTCTTACAGAAAATATCTCAAAGGTCCAGAATGTTACAGAATGGGACAGGTTGGCAGGGAGAGACAATGCTCCTTGTTATATCAACAGCTAGAGAAATCAAACTTTTGGTAAACACAAACCCTTCCGCAGGTGTGAAATAACTCAAACCAGACATTTTTCCCCCTGTGTTTCATGTCATTTCAGTTGGTGACTAAGGCTGAATCTATTTTACATGCCAGATTAACTTCCACCACGAGAGCCACCACTCTGTGTGCTGCATGCTGCATCCTGCTGGAACAGAGTCGCGTCCCCTCTAATGGCAGTTTCCAGCCCGGTTCCAGTTTGCAGGCACTGGCCAAAAGGACTGTAAATGCTGCAGGAAAACATTTGTACAAAATTCTGGCCAACGTTTTTGCTGTTAGTGGGAGTGCAGCCACTCTGGAAAAGCAGCTCATTATCTAGATTCTTAATTGTAGCCTTTGGTTCCTAATTTTCAGCATCCTGGAGAGAAAATCATGGCTTTTTTCCACCCCCCCTAGAGGAAATCATAATGCTAAACACAGCATGGAAACATTTCAGGAGGCCTTGATTTTTAAACTGAGCTTTTGGTAATATTTGCCTCAATACTGTCCTTTAAGTAAACGTTTGCCACGTTGTGTTACTCCTGTCTTGTTCCTGTGAGCAATAAGAAAGACCATAGTAAGATTGATAAGAGGTAAGGTGGATCTGATTGAACCAGATCTGGCCTTGTGGTATAGTTTGATGGAGATCTGCATGGTGTCTTCTCCTCCACCTTCTGCAGGATTTGTCTCCTCCAACATTCTTGTCTCTCCAGTTCCATATTTACCATCCAACCAGCAACATGGTAAATCAGTGTGCTGTTGCTAACTAAATATCTGGAGCTAATTTGTACATCACTGCACTTACAAATATCTTTTCTAACCAAGTTTTTCCTTGCTGGTGCAGAACTGAAGCTCTGACAGGCAGCTGTAGACATGCCAGGCTGTGACACTGTCCAGTTTGTGAGCATGTCAGGTGAAAACCAAGCAGCTCAGAGAGAAAAGCAAAGCAGCACCTTTTGCAATCAAACAGGTGACCCTTTCTCTAAGCAACAAGTGTCCTTGGAGCGAGGGGACACCGGTTGAGGAGCTATTTTGGCACAGACCTAAATAAAGAAGTAGGTGACACAGTGTTTAGTGGAAGGCAGCTTGGATCTTACTTGCAAAGAAAAGAACACCCAAATGGTATTTATAAAATAGAGGAAGGGAATGTAAAGACGTGACGATTCAGAGGAGCTACCAGGCTGGAGCATACACGTTGATTTAGCTCTGCCTGGCCATTGCCCAGGGACATCTGCTGGCACAGAACCTGTTGACAGGAGGGGGAAATTCTTTGTTCGTTGCCATCATCTCTTCTGAATGATTTAGCTCAGGCTGCAGAGTTTTATTGACCCCGTAGAGACACAAAACCAGCTTCAAGAATGCAATATTTGATTCCCTAGGCTGGGGGCTGGAGGGGAAGTGTTTATAACATTGTTCTCCTCCCAGCCTCCAGAGCTGTTTATTTTTAAGCATTTTACTCTGGAGCCTCATGATGACTCAGGGAAGAAGCTGTTTGTTGCAAGCTTTGATATGGATCTCTTCCAGCCCCTTTGTTTACAGATCTCCAGTTAAGGCCAGAACCATGAGGACAAGGCAATGGGGAAGTTACTGAAGGTTTTGCTGCTTTTGAAACACCAGCCCTGAATCTCCCCAGGGCAGCAGAGCAAGAGCCTGGAAGCCTGATGCAGACGAGTTGCTCCAGCTGGTATCCATCTACATGGGCTTGCACAAATAAGCTGAGCAGAAACATCTGGACTCCCTCAAGCAGGAAGGGTCCATCTGTGACGTGGAGCCATGCGTGGCTCACGAGCGTCTGGAGTGCAGCTCCTAAGCCACGGCCACAGAATGTGACTAATAGCAAAAGAGCTCCTGAGTAAAGCAGACTTCCAGCCATGGAAGTAAATGGGAAGAGGCTGCGGAATCACACCAGGACCCCTGCTAGATCCAGACCCATACACCAGGGTGGAGGACCCGGAGAGAGAACCATGTCTGGAGCTCTCCCGGTGCAGGAGATGGGGTAGAGTGACCCTCTGATATGCACCTTGTGCAGCAAAAGCTCAGTTTTCCATCCCAGCACTGCTGGGAGGCTGCTGCCTAGGAGCACGGATGTCCTGCATGTCGTAGGGGTGCCAATTTGCCCTGCAAACCTGAACTCATGTTCTCCTTCCCACCCCACTCCACCAGTTGTTAGCCTGAGTGCATGCCTTCCTTCTTGGGGATAACTCATGGCATTCCCTGGAAGTCGTGTTTGCTGGCTGCAGAGCAAATCCATGATGTACCAAGAATATTGAAGATGAGGGAAGTTCAAATACAGCTTTGTTATAACTTAGCTGCCAGCAATACTGTCCTACTGCCCTTAGCAGTAATCTATTGTCTGTATGGCCCACAGACCGGGATGTAAATCCTGGACAACAAACCCCACTTTCACATGGATCAGCTCTGTGCACGGCCTCCAGCACATCCTGGACAGACAGAAGGACCATGTGTGGACAGCAAAAGCCTGGCGGGCTTGGAATGGAGGTCTGTGGTAACTGTGCATGTGCCAGGGACCTGCTGAGCATGTCTGATCTACCTCAGACACATGGGGCTTCGTGCACGTGGGCTGTGCCCGGCACTGTGTTCGTGTCAGATCCACACTGCACACATGGACAGTCCCACCGCAGGGTGAATCATCCAAAGCCCCAGCAGCATCCAGCACAACAAACTCTTTTTCAGCCTGGCCTCTTTTTGCCTGAACTTTGCAGCATCTTTTGAGTTGTATCAGTGTGAACAGGACACCTGCCTGGAAAATCCCTCAGAGATTCCCAAAGACCAACACCTGTAGAAGCACTTCCAACAGGGACACCTCCAGTTTGCACTTCAGCAGCTTTGTGCGCAGCTCCGCAGCCCTTCTCCCCGCAGAGGAGGACGCACTAGCAAACCCCTATTCCCAGGAACGACTGGAGGACTTTCCCGGAGCAGCAGGAAGCTCGGGGCTACGGAACCTGCTTCTCCTTGCAGGGTACAGCTCAAGGTTAGTCCCTTCACCTCCCACCACAGGCAAAGGGGCAGACTCTTGGCAAGCCCTTTCCCTCCCAGATGAGGTTTAACCACATAAGCCTGAGACCTGAAGTTGCTCCCAGCAGAGTTCCTGACCTCTGCAGGCCTTTGCTACTGCGAGGTACCGACCCCCCAACTTAGAGAGGGACAAGGAGGCGCAGACCTTACCTCAGGGGACCTCACTGCGTTCTGAAAGATGGCATAGGCAATAATTGAGCTGGAACCTATAACGCTGAAAAAACAAAGCACAGGTTGGAACGTCTGCCTCGCTGGGTAAGAGATTCCTCCTTTTTCCCTGTCGTTGCAGTGGGAACTTCACCCTGGCACCCCATGGATGCGAGGTTAGGAGCGATGTACCTGAGCATGGCCATGGTG